GGACAAATACTTGAGTCTCCCCCTCTATTTGCCGATTTACAGAATAATAAGTGGTTTCCCTGGCAACCTCCAAATTTGGCCAATGAGTTTTATTTTATTATTATTATTATTTTAATTTATTTTTGGCTGTGTTGGGTCTTCATTGCTGCACGTGGGCTTTCTCTAGTTGTGGCGAGCAGGGGCTACTCTTTGTTGCGGTGCACGGGCTTCTCATTGCGGTGGCTTCTCTTGTTGGAGAGCACAGGCTCTAGGCGCGTGGGCTTCAGTAATTGCAGCACGTGGGCTCTAGAGTGCAGGCTCAGTAGTTGTGGTGCACGGGCTTAGTTTCTCCACGGCATGTGGGATCTTCCCAGACCAGAGATCGAACCCGTGTCCCCTGCATTGGCAGGCAGATTCTTAACCATTCTTAACCACTGTGCCACCAGGGAAGTCCTGGCCAATGAGTTTTCCTTCCTTTTTTTTAGCACCATTATGAGTTCATGTCTTTCTATATATTTGCTGTGTTTCAATCCATTGCAGTTATTCTTCTTTTTCTGATATTATTCTTTTTGATGCTTAAGTTGTCCCAGGAGCCGCTTCAAGACGATCCCTGTTCAATATATGCAAATCAATCAATGTGATACACCATATTAACAAATTGAAGAATAAAAACCATATGATCATCTCAGTAGATGCAGAAAAAGCTTTTGACAAAATTCAACACTTATTTATGATAAAAACTCTCCAGAAAGTGGGCATAGAGGGAACACACCTCAACATAATAAAGGCCATATACGACAAACTCACAGCAAACATCATTCTCAATGGCGAAAAACTGAAAGCATTTCCTCTAAGATCAGGAAAAAGACAAGGATGTCCACTCTCACCGCTGTTATTCAACATAGTTTTGGAAGTCCTAGCCAAGGCAATCAGAAAAGAAAAAGAAATAAAAGGAATACAAATTGGAAAAGAAGAAGGAAAACTGTCCTTGTTTGCAGATGACATGATACATAGAGAATCCTAAATATGCCACCAGAGAACTACTAGAGCTCATCAATGAATTTGGTAAAGTTGCAGGATACAAAATTAATGCACAGGAATCTCTTGCATTCCTATACACTAATGATGAAAAATCTGAAAAAGAAATTAAGGAAACACTCCCATTTACCATTGCAACAAAAATAATAAAATACCTAGGAATAAACCTACCTAGGGAGAAAAAAGACCTGTATGCAGAAAACTATAAGACACTGATGAAAGAAATTAAAGATGATACCAACAGATAGAGAGCTATACCATGTTCTTGGATTGGAAGAATCAATACTGTGAAAATGACTATACTACCCAAAGCAATCTATAGATTCAATGCAATCCCTACAAATTACCAATGGCGTTTTTTATGGAACTAGAACAAAAAAATCTTAAAATTTGTATGAAGACACAAAAGACCCCAGATAGCCAAAGTAGTCTTGAGAGAAAAAAATGGAGCTGGAGGAATCAGACTCCCTGACTTCAGACTATACTACAAAGCTACAGTAATCAAGACAATATGGTACTGGCACAAAAACAGAAACATAGATCAATGGAACAAGATAGAAGCCCAGAGATAAACCCACGAACCTATGCTCAACTAATCTATGACAAAGGAGGCAAGGATATACAATGGAGAAAAGACAGTCTCTTCAATAAGTGGTGCTGGGAAAACTGGACAGCTACATATAAAAGAATGAAATTAGAACACTCCCTAACACCATACACAAAAATAAACTCAAAATGGATTCAAGAGCTAAATATAAGACCAGACACTGTAAAACTCTTAGAGGAAAACATAGGAAGAACACTCTTTGACATAAATCACAGCAAGATCTTTTTTGATCCACCTCCTAGAGTAATGAAAATAAAAATAAACAAATGGGATCTAATGAAACTTAAAAGCTTTTGCACAGCAAAGGAAACCATAAACAAGACAACCCTCAGAATGGGAGAAAATATTTGCAAACGAATAAATGGACAAAGGATTAATCTCCAAAATATATAAACAGCTCATGCAGCTCAATATTAAAGAAACAAACAACCCAATCCAAAAATGGGCAGAAGACCTAAATAGACATTTCTCCAAAGAAGACATACAGATGGCCAAGGAGCACATGAAAAGCTGCTCAACATCACTAATTATTAGAGAAATGCAAATCAAAACTACAATGAGGTATCCCCTCACACCAGTTAGAATGGGCATCATCAGAAAATCTACAAATAACAAATGCTGGAGAGGGTGTGGAGAAAAGGGTACCCTCTTGCACTGTTGGTAGGAATGTAAATTGATACAATGGAGAACAGTATGAAGGTTCCTTAAAAAACTAAAAATAGAATTACCATATGACCCAGCAATCCGACTACTGGGCATATACCCAGAGAAAACCATAATTCAAAAAGACACATGCACCCCAATGTTCATTGCAGCACTATTTACAATAGTCAGGTCATGGAAGCAACCTAAATGCCCATTGACAGATGAATGGATAAAGAAGATGTGATACATATATATAATGGAATATTACTCAGCCATAAAAAGGAACGAAATTGAGTCATTTGCTGAGACGTGGATGGACCTAGAGACTGTCATACAGAGTGAAGTAAGTCAGAAAGAGAAAAACAAATATCATATATTAAAGCATGTATGTGGAACCTAGAAAAATGGTACAGATGAACCGGTTTGCAGGGCAGAAGTTGAGACACAGATGTAGAGAACAAACGTATGGACACCAAGGGGGGAAAGCCACGGCAGGGTGGGGATGGTGGTGTGCTGAATTGGGTGGTTGGGACTGACATGTATACACTCATGTGTATAAAGTTGATGACTAATAAGAATCTTCTGTATAAAAAAATAAATAAAATAAAATTCAAAAACTAAGAAAAAAAAAAGACGGTCCCTGTGTCTTCTGGGCATGACCCCAGTAGACTTAGGTAGATTTCTTGTTTGCTGGCCTAAAAAGATATCCCAGGTTCATCTTGTATATCCTTGCCCCAGATCTGGAATCAGCCATTTCTCCAAGGAGCCCTGGTTCCTGATAGTGGGAAATAACATTGAGAGGCCACCGTCTGGATATAAGGGTGTTCATTGCTATGGGGTTACTGTTGTTTCTACTCCTGAGTGCACAAAGCGAGGAAATACCTGCTTTTTTTTTGGCCACGCAGCACGGTGTGTGGGATCCTAGTTCCCTGATCAGGGATGGAACGCCCACCCCCTGCAATGGAAGCATGGAGTCTCAACCACTGGACCACCAGGGAAGTCCCAATATGTGCTTTTAGAAAGAGAAAAACGTCTTATAAATTATACTGATATTTCCAATTCAAATCTACAAATACAGGGCTTTTACTTAGCTTTTTTTTTCTTTTGAATCTTTCAATTTTATTTTATTTATTTTTTTATACAGCAGGTTCTTATTTTTACTTAGCTTTTTAAATTTTATATTTGGGTCTCTATGTTCCTATGCTGAAAATCATGCTAATCTAACATAAACACAATTATTTATGTATATATAGTAACATATTATAGTAATTACACACACACACACACATCCATTCTTCTTGTCCTTAGGATTAAACCTCGCTAGGTATGATAGTAAAAATACTGTGTTTAAGGAAAAACTCTTCTCTCTGTGTTTGTGCTACCAACTCAGTGTATGATTGTTCAATCATTTTACTGTGTTTTTACATTTTAAGTTAACTGAAGTTTTAGGGATTTTAAAAATCCTTTAAATTTAATTTAATTTTATAACTATTTAAAACCCAAGATTCCAAGGTTAAAACTACCAAACAGGGTGCATCCAGAAAAGTCCATTTCCCAGCCCATCCTACACCCTGTCCCGTGCCCACCAACCCCCTGCTTAGGTAACCATTGTAATTAATTTTGGTTCCCTTTTCGCTTTTTTTCAACCTTTATCCAAAAATGTAAAAAATGTTTAAAATGTGTAGTCCTGAGCTTCAGATGCTGAACTACAACCTCATAGGCAAGTGGGGAGAGAGGGTCAGGATGGAAGTTCAGAGTTCCTCCCACCCCGGTGCCACGCTCCCGGTGTGGTACAGCAGTAGAACACCAAGGCCCTATGGAGGATGGGACCCCCTCTCTCCTAGCACCAGACCAAGACCCCACCCACCCCACGGCTACCCTTCCAATTCAGTGGAGAAGACACAAAATTCTTGAAACTTGTACGGGAACCTGGAGCATGGTGCACGTGGCAGGCAGCTAGCTAACCAGGGAGGGTCAGCGCTGCCCCCCTGCTTCCTGGCAGGCAGGATGTGAAGTCAGATATGAAAGTGCTTTGGATACGATGAATAACGACATGGAAGAACAAAGATAGTAATGAGAGCAGATAAAGGGATTCAGAAGAATGAGGGTGAGCTCAGTCGGAGATGAGCAGGAAGCTGAAGATGGACGAGGAAGGTCCTCCGTGAAGAGGATGGTAACTGGCCGGTAAAGGTTAGCAGCCACTCTGCGGGCTGCTCCCCGGGCTTGTCTTACTTACTCAAAACCACAGCCCTAAAAGACAGGTAATTTTATTATCCCACGTGACTAGTAATGGCAGAACTAGCACTTGAACGCAGGACTAGTGACAGCAGACACCATCGGACCAACAAGGACACGACCTCAGGGAAGCCCTTACCCCTCCCCCCAGCCCCCACCCCCACCTCCTCTCCCGGGAGCCCGCCTCCTCCCTCTTCTGTCTCTCTCTGACTCACTGGGCACGATCACTGCTCCAAACGTCTCCACCCACACGTTCCTAACGTAAGAGGAAAGCACCAAGTCCTAACCACCGGACCGCCAGGGAATTCCCAGGTCTCTTTCCTTTTTCTTAATCTTCGTCCTGGAAATCCCTCCCACCTTGATTTCTACCCCATCACCTGGGTCTCTCGGGATAGAGCAAAGAAGGGATATTTGAAGTGGTACAAAGGCATAGAAAAGAGAAAACTAAGTAACAAATTTCCAAAGTTACTTTATTTCATCTAAATGCTATAGGGACGTTTGGGCTGACCTGTAATTTAGACCCATCAGTGTGCGTGATGCGAGAGGAGGATAGTTAGGTCTCCATCTCCTTTAAATTTCTATTCCAGTCAATTCCCATTGATGTTGTCTAACTCAAATCCCTTCTCATATATTTAAGCCATCTCACTTCCTTTCATGGATGATGGTTTCTCCTGTTTTAATCATAAATTAGACAGGTGCCTCAGTGGGAATGGTGTGATCCAGACATACAGGGCTTCTTGGAGACAAGGCAGGGCTCATTCTTCAAGGTCATTACCCTTGTCTTTTTCTCTTTGCTTTCTTCTGTTCAATAAACCTTCTCAAGTACTCAAGGTTACGTCAGTATTGTTTAGATAAAACTGGAGCTCAGAGCCTATAAAAAGAAGAGTTAATAGGAAAAGTTCAGAACTTTGGAGGTCCTCATGCCTACCTCCAGCACCCTGGTGTCTGCAGCTTGATCCCCAAGAAAAGGTAGTAGACAATTGTGGTCTAGTTAACCCCACCTTGAGGGAATTTATAGGAGGAGCTGTGGATGGGTTTGTAATAGAGACCAAGATAGAAGTATGAAATATCTGAGTTGGATTTGATAGATTAACTTGAGCCAAAACTCTTATGGGAATATCTGGATGTTGCTTGATATCTTGCTTCTCCTACTGTCTCTGGCCAAGACTAGGTGGGTAATAAGTCATGTAGCTTCTCATACTCATCGTCCCCTCTGTTCTACTCACTGGTACCACTGCCTGGACTGGGAAAATGAGTCACCCCCTTTGCCAAAGCCCTGTACAGCCCTGAGCCTCCTGTTGTTTAGATAATTCTCCTTCCTTTACTATTTTTTTTTTTAGGCCATGCCGTGTGGCATGAGAGATCTTTGTTCCCCGACCAGGGATCGAACCCATGCCCCCTGCCTTGGGAGCATGGAGTCTTAACCACTGGACAACCAGGGAAGTCCCTTTTCCTTCCCTTACTATTGCCAGAAGAGATGGGTCCACCCAGAGAAGGAGGAAAACAGGAAATTATAATTGCAAATTGCAAAGAACAAACAAGAGTTGATCTCACTCACACTGATTAACTTGAGACATGAAGCTGGCTTCTACCACTCTGTTGTTCAGGGTCTGGGTCCCACGGTAATCATTGTGGATGGTTTTGTTCTGGTGATTCAATAAGGAATTCTCCAGTTTCCAAACCTGCAGGAAACGTGAAGGGAATTATGGAGAGGAGAGGCACTGGGTGAGTTTTTAAATTTAGCTAGCAACTGAACTAGAGCTTGGATTTATATAACCCTGATAAAGCGGTTGTGAGAAGATCTCAATTCCAGAAGTGGTTCTGGGTGCTATGTGCCAGGCCATTAATCCACACATTCATTTCTCCAACAATCTCTTTTAATCTTTTTCTATGAGTATTTAATCAATAGTAGAAAGGAGAGGAAGAAGTAAACAGAGACATACCAAGCAGCAAGCTCAATTTTTGTTTTTTCTGAAAATGTCTGTATTTTGTCTACATTCTTTTTTGTTTAACATTTATTTATTTATTTGGTTGCTCTGGGTCTTAGTTGCGGCAGGCAGCCTCCTTAGTTGTGGCTCACTCACTCCTTAGTTGTGGCTTGCCACCTCCTTAGTTGGAGCACATGCAATCCTTAGTTGCAGCAGGCAGCCTCCTTAGTTGCAGCACGTGGGCTCCTTACTTGTGGCTCGCCAGCTTCTTTTTTTTTTTCGGTACGCAGGCCTCTCACTGTTGTGGCTTCTCCCATTGCGGAGCACAGGCTCTGGACACACAGGCTCAGCGGCCATGGCTCACGGGCCCAGCCGCTCCGCAGCATGTGGGATCTTCCCGGACCGGGGCACGAACCCACGTCCCCTGCATCGGCAGGCGGACTCTCAACCACTGCGCCACCAGGGAAGCCCTCACCAGCTTCTTAGTTGCAGTTCATCGGCTACTTAGTTGCAGCTCACGGTCTCCTTAGTTGTGGCTCACCGGCTCCTTAGTTGCAGCATGTGTGCTCCTTAGTCGCAGCAAGAGGGCTCCTTAGTTGCACCTCACAGGATCCTTGGTTGCAGCTCACAGCCTCCTTAGTTGCAGCATGTGCGCTCCTTAGTTTCAGCACGTGGGCTCCTTAGTTGCAGCTCACCAACTCCTTAGTTATGGCTCGCAGTCTCCTTAGTTGTGGCTTGCTGGCTCCTTAGTTGCAGCACGTGAACTCTCAGCTACAGCACGCATGTGGGATCTAGTTCCCTGACCAGGGATCAAACCTGGGCCCCCTGCATTGGGAGCGCAGAGTCTTATCCACTGCACCAGCAGGGAAGTCCCTTGCCTATATTCCTGAGAGATATTTTTGCTGCCTGTACAACTCTAGGTTAGCTATTCATTTCCCTCAGTTCTTTGAAAATATGGTTCCACTGCTTTCTGACTTTCATTGTCACTGTGTTGAATCTACTCTTGGTCTATAATATTTCTTTCATGAAAATCTGTCTTTTCTCTCTGGTTGATTTTTAAATCTTCTCTTTGTCTTTGATATTTTGTGGTTTCACTGTGATGGTTTAGTGTGGGCTTCTTTTTGTTTTCATTGACTCATTGGGCTTCCTTCACATATGACATGGTGTCTTTCAATTCTCTGGAAAATTGTCAGCCAATATTTCTCAAATTATCCCTCTTCTCTATGCTACCTCTCTTCTCCCTCTAAATTTCAACCAGACATTTGTTGGACCTTTCTAGTATATTCTCTATATCTCTTTACTTCTTTTTCATATTTCCATCTCTTTTTCTCTTTGTGCTGCATTTTACATAATTTTGTCAGCTCTGTCTTCCAGTTTACTAATCCTTTCTTGAACTGTGTCTAACATGCTATTAAACCCATTTGTTGGGTTGTTAATTTCATTACTATCTTTTCATTTCTAGAAATTAACAACCCATTTGGTTTTTTTTTTCTTCTTTGAGTTTACTTCGTCATTTTTATACTTTGTTCTTTCCTCATATTTAAAACTCCTATACATATTAAACATACTAAATATGTTTAATTTTACATATTATGCATTATTTATGCATATTAAACATATCTTATATTAATTGACTGATAATTACTATATCTGAAATCTTTGTAGTTCTTTTTCTGCTGACACTCATTCATAGTGCCTTTTTCCTGATATTTTGTGATTTTTTAAAAATTGAGCTCATTTCAGGTAACTTTATTCATGTAAATTCTTATAGATCTGGATTTAAGGTGCATTTTTCCTGAGATAGTTTACATTGGCTTTTGTTAGGTATCTAGTGGAACTTCAAACCTGGTTGGCAATGTTTTTTGTGTGGTTATAAGAATAGGGGTCTTTCCACCTTTTTCCTGGAATAGGGAAATGAAAAGTTTAAAAAAAGAAATATTTGTTTCTGAGGAAGAACATCACCCAGAAGGAAATGTCAGCTTTGTTTTGAAACCTCAGTAACATTTGTCCTTTATTTAACTCAACAAATATTTATTATGTACCCATGCTATGATGAAGGACAAAAGACAACTGATACAGCTCTTCCCCTCAAAGAGCCACAGGCATTTTATGTGATGAAAGGCTAAATATGAAGCTGTCCTTCTTGCATGGAGTCATTTATGAAGTAATGTGTTACTTCATGTAAAGCAGTGCCTGATGGGAGCAGCACTCAGTAAATATTTGCCTTCACTGTGCAACTCTTGTCCTATGACCTGGACCACGTCCCAGTTTTTTTTGTTGCATCACCTATAGGTTTCTTGGATTCCCTGATGCCTGTTTGCCCATTTCTGCCACAACACTAGTAAGATCACCCCTAGCAATAGAGGTGAGGCACTGCAGCCCTGTACATGGAAAACACTGTAGGAGCCCAGGTATCAGCATTAGGTGAGATTTAGGGAGCGCTCTTGTTAACCAGGCCGTTGAAAGGAGAGACTTTGATAAAGTGATTCTACACACTACCTGTGTCCTGGAGAGCTTGACGGTATCCGCCAGCACAAACCAGTGGACATTCTCAGTACAGGGAGGAGTGGTGAGTGACCCCCAGTAGCTGTAGTAGTAGTGGAGGTTCCCAGGTAGCATGTCCTGAACATCAAGGCCCCTCAGAACTGTGCTTTGTCCTAAAAGAGGGGACAAAAAAGAATGTCAGGGACCACTGCTGCCCCTTGCAAGGACAGCTCTGGCTCAGATCTCACCATCTTTAAATCTCCTGATTTAAGCAGGGGGACATAGAACCTGGTCATTGGGAAACATCCCCCAGTGTTCTGCTTCCAGGGGGGTGTTAAGAACAAAGACTTTGGGCAGAAACCCACTCAAATACCTCCTCCTGGCTGAGTGGCCCTGGCTGGGTCTGTAAAAAGGGGACCCCCAGGAGCATTGCTGTGAGGGTAAAGGGGAATGTGTTTATAAAGTGCTGGCATTGGACCAGCACATAGGAAAGTGCTCATGGGTGTAGCCATCACCATCATCATTGTTAGGCAGAGGATATATTTTATGATAAACGAAAGCAATTATGACTCCTAGGGGCTTTTGGGTAAGTGCTCTCAAAGAAAGAACAAAATTCCTTGAGTTGTGCTCATCTATAAATGAAGGGGAGGGATAGAGATTAGAAAGGCAGAATCAGAACTAAGCAGGAGTCCAGGTGCAGGCATCAGGCCACGAGCACTTCCTGCCATGCCCATTGGCAACCAAGCTCAGCCACAGGTGAGGTGTAGAGAGGGGGACATCCACAGGGCATCTGAAGCCTCCACGGCACCCACATCTATCGCTGCATCTATAGAATTCCTCTTTTGTTCATGTCAGTGACGCTGAGTCCCTGAACTCATCAAGAGACTCTATCAAAGCAGCACGGAGTCGAGTTGACTTTTGCTTCACCTTCCCTGAGCACTTTTGCATTTTTCAATGGCAAAGACGATATCATTTTGATATATACATAAACTGGTTTCTTTAACCAAGGCTGTGAAGTGTAGTAGTGCATAATCCCATGAATAAGTAAAAGATTTCTAAGTTTTGTTTGTTTTTGTTTTTTGCGGTACGCGGGCCTCTCACTGCTGTGGCCTCTCCCATTGTGGAGCACAGGCTCCGGATGCGCAGGCTCAGCGGCCATGGCTCACGGGCCCAGCCGCTCCACGCATGTGGGATCTTCCCGGACCGGGGCACGAACCCGCGTACCCTGCATCGGCAGGCGGACTCTCAACCACTGCGCCAGCAGGGAAGCCCTAAGTTTTGTTTTTATTGGGTAGATTTCAAGATATAACCTTCTAAAGGACTCTATTGCATAGATTTTGTTTCATAACAACTCCAATACGTTCAAGTGAGTGAAGAATTCCAGAACCATGATGAGCCACTGTGGAAAATAATATGGTGGTTCCTTTAAAAATTAAACATAGATTACCATATGATCCAGAAATTCCACTTCTGGGAATATACCCCAAAGAATTGGAAGAAGGGAGGTAAAAACAACAGGGCCCACTGATGGTTTGGGTGTGGCAGGGCAGGGTGGGGAATGAAAAGAGGGAAGTCCAGAAAAATTTTGGGATTTTTGGCTTAAACAAGGGGATGGATGAGGATGCTCTTTGCTGAAATGAGGAAGTCGGTTTAGGGACAAGCCTGGAAAGGGACGGGAATAAGTGATGCTTTGACCATGTTAAATTCTAGATCCATCGGGCAACATCAACTAAACAGTTGGGTAAAGGAATCCAAAGTTCAGAGAGAGGCCAGTGTTGTGGGCAGTATTGATCAGCAGTGGAATTTATTGAATTGGAGAAGGAAATATATCAGGATCAGTTAGTAGAAATAGAATATCTGAGGTCAGTGAATTCAAGGCAACTCCTTAGTTATACCACAGGCCTGTGGTGTCTCCTGCTGGCTTCGTTCATGGTCAGTAGATGAACTAGACAGTTCTTGCCTCTACTTTGCCTCACCTGTCCTGCCTGGTGCTGTTGTTGCCTGGAGGACCAGATAGAGATTTTTGGAGTCCACAGCCTAAAGATGACAATTCAGGCCATGGGACTGAAAATGAGGTCACCGAGAGAAGTCAGAGTCCTGGCACCCTCTGACATTAAGGCAGGAGCCAGGAAGAGAGAGCAAGAGAGTCGTGCTGGGGCTGGGGGCGGGCTTTGGCCAGAATGCAAGCCGCGTGTAATGCATCACTGTTTGGAGGTGGAGCAAGAGAAGAGGAGAAAAGTGCCCAGGAGATCTGACAACCAGGATGACCTTGAAGGCTTAGGGTGAGTGAGAAAAGAGAACAGGACAGTAGACAACTCTTTCAAGGGGAGATGAGAATGGGGTGGAAGCTGAGGGAATGATGGGGTCAGGAGATGGGGTTTGTGTTTTGAAATGGAAGAAATGAGAGCATTGTGCTTTGTGTTGAGTGGAGTGATCGGGTGAAGGGTGAGATGCAGGAGAGAGGGGAGACGGGCAGGAGAAAAGGCCCTGAGAATGGGGGGCTCAGTGCCCACATGGAAGGCTGGTCCTGGACCAGAGCAGGGACCTCTCATCCAGTGTAACAGAGGAGGGGACATGGAGTTTGGTCAGGCGCAGGCAGGTTAAGATGAGTGAGTTTCTGACTACCTTCTCCATGGAGTGGGAGGCCAGGCATCACCTCCAAGAGAGAAGCTGGGGCCAGAAAGGAGGGGCTTTGGGAGAGAGGAGAAAATATGACGCAGTAATTTTGGAGAGGGGAAAAGCAAGTGTCCAGAGTAGTATTTCAGGATTTCTGAGCTGTGTTAGTACTTGTGTATATTTGTCGCTGTGAATGAAGCTGGAAATCTGTATGCTTCTCTCTGGCTACATGCAGCCATTTGGTTACAGGCTGTGAGTAAGTGGGAGTTAGTCTGGGGCTTTGCCAGGTGAGCTTGCGGAAGGATGGAGGGCATTTGAGTGGGCGTGTCAGAAGTATGGCCTGTGGAATCCAAGCTAGGCAAAGAGAGATGAGAGGCATGAGGCGTGACTAATAGTGAGAATGTGGAGGTCCATGGATTGGAGGTCAGCAGATTGCTGGAGGGGGTGAGGACTGAGGTCAGGGGCCTGGAGTCTGGGAGATATGGCCAAAGTGAGATGCACACAACCAAGGCTGCAACAGACCTGTTACTGCTCAAGGTCAAGGGTTGACCATGGGAGTGGGCACTCCGACAAGAACCCTGCCTTCTGGCCGCAGAGATAAGGGAGAGCAGCCCTGTGTCTGTGTGTACAGGCACCATGACAAGAGGCTTCACTCTTGAGATTCTTCTCAGCTTGAAGCCAAGGAGGTCGTCTCTCTCTAGAGACCAGGATCATTACTACCAGCTGGGGCCAGAGGGGAGCGTCACTTAAATGAAGGTATCCCTCATTAGTGGAACTCTGGCCATCCAGAAGTTCCAGCTGTGGCAATTGACAGGTAGAGTTTATGAACGGGTTTCTCAGAGGTGTGCACAGCCTGAGCCAACCTTGGGAATTGCTGGAACCAGAGACCCTGCACAGGGAGGGGAGCATCCCCTGGCAGGCTTATCTGCCACCCTCTCCACCAGCGACACTCTCCCCTGCTCCCCTGCCCCCCACCACACTCACACTCGTTCCTCTGCCCTCGTGCAGCCACCGTCGGTTTCCCTTACCTGGATACCTGATGCTCTTCAAGTGAGAAATGAAGTTGCTGTAGTAAGTATTTTCAGCATTATCCTTGACCTGCGGGAGAGACACAGAGCAGTTCACCTAATGGAGAAGGGCCGTCCATCCAGAACTATCCCCGCTAATCCAGCTATTTTGTAAACTGGCTGACTGGGCAGAGCCGCAAGGGCAAGGAGGCAGCCCACCCGTGCCCCACTTGTGCTGGGGGAGGCCATCTGGCTGTTCTTTGCCACCAAGTGCCTGGGCTCCCCTGTCTCTTCCAGAAAGACAAGATCTGAAGCATTTTGGCAGCTTCTAGGGAAAAGAGCTTCTTGGTGGTGACTGGTGATGTCCTCAAGGAATGGCCAAAAGTCACTGTCAAGATATCCCCAGTGACCCTGTTTTGGGCAATGTCAGCCACAGTCAGACTCACTGTGTTTTTTCATATGTTTGTTTGGTTTTGGTTTTTTGGCCATGCGGCATGCGGAATCTTAGTTCCCTGACCAAAGATCGAACCCATGCCCCTGTACTGGAAGCATGGAGTCTTAACCAATGGACCGCCAGGGAAGTCCCCAGATTCATGGTGATGCAGGGGCTTGCTCTTAAGTGCTCCCTTCTTCATCCTCAGGACTTTTGACTGAATGAAGGAAAGCCAGATGTCCAAGGCAAAACGGCTCCAATTCTGACCACCGCCATCCTTTATTTATTGTATGAGTGTTGACTTTTTAGAAGTCAGAATAGTTGCTTTTTGTGAAAAAGGTCTATGGACAATGGTTCTTTTCAGTCAGTGATGCTGATCCATTCTTCCACTGGGTATAAATTCAGACTTTCTTGGATTTCTGATTGCCATTTATTTGTTTTCTAAATGTCTCATCTTTTTTTGTTCCTCTGTTCTATCTTTTGTGTTAAACTCTGTTCTATACTTTTAGTGTACCATTTAGGTTATTAGTGGTTGCTCTAGTGACTACCACATACAACTTATCACAATCTATATCAGGTAGATACTAATTTAATTCTAGTAAAATATAGCAACTTTGTTCCAATATAGCTCTATTTCTTCCTCATTTTTTCTTCTATTTTTGTCATACATTGTAAAGCTAATACTACAGGGGTATAATTATTGTTTTAAACAATCTTATGGTTTTTTTAAAAAAAAGAAATTAAAAGAAGACAAGAATATGGATATATGTATATATATATGTGTATATGTGTGTATATATATGTATATATATATACATGTATATATATATTGTATATGTGTGTGTGTGTATATATATATTTATTTATTTATTTATTTATTTACTATTTTCTGGCAGTCTTCATCTTTTTCTGTGGATTTGAGTTGCTGTCTGGTGTGATGTCCCTACAGCCAGAAGGATTTCCTTTAATTTTTCTTGTAAGACAGATCTGTTAACAATTATCTCAGTTTTACTTTAACTGGGAATGTCTTTATTTTGCCCCATTTCTGAAGATTGGTTGATTGGACATAGGAATCCTGATCGTCAGTCATTCCACTGCCTTCTGATGCCTTGCTTCTAATGAGAAGTCAGCCATTAATGCACTGTCAGTCCCCTCTATATAATGAACCCTTTTTCTCTTGTCAGTTTTGACAGTTTGATTTTGATGTGTCTAGGTGTTTATCAGATTTGGAGTTTGTTGAGTTTCTTGGATTGGTAAATTATTGTTTTTTCATCAAATTTGGGAAAATTTGGCCATTGTTTCCTCAACAGTTTTTTCTGCCACTTTCTCTCTCTGCTCTCCTTCTGGGACCCCCATTACATATATGTTGGGAAGCATGATCTTGTCCCCATGAGTCTCTAAGGCTCTGCTCATTTTTCTTCTAGCTTTTTCCTTTGTTCTTCAGATTCAATAATTTATTTAACCTGTCTTCAAATGCACTGATTGTTTCTTCAGCTGCCTCAAATCTGCTTTGAGCCCATGTAGCGAATTTTTCATCCTTTTATGATACTTTTCAACTCTAGACTTTCCATTTGGTGCATTTTTATAGTTTCTGTTTCTTTATTGAGATCCTTTTTGAATCATTGTCATCATATTTTCCTTTAATTCTTTGAACATAGTTTCTTTTCATGCTTTGAACATATTTATGATAGTTGTTGAAAGTACTGTCTGCTAGGGAAATCCCTGGTGGTCCAGTGGTTAGGACTCCATGCTTTCACTGCTGAGGGCCAGGGTTTGATCCCTGGTCAGGGAACTAAGATCCCACAAGCCACGTGGAGTGGCCAAAAAAGAAAATAATAATAAAGAAAGTACTGTCTGCTAAATCACTCTTGGTCTATTCAGAGTCAGTTTATATTGACTGCTTTTTTTTTTCTCCTAAATATGGATCACATTTTCCTATTTCTTTGCATGCCCAACTTTTTCTTTGACATCTGGACATTTTAGATAATACATGGCAGCAAATCTGAATTCTGATTTTTTTTTTTTTTTTTTTTTTGCAGTACGCGGGCCTCTCACTATTGTGGCCTCTCCCGTTGCGGAGCACAGGCTCCGGACGCGCAGGCTCAGCGGCCATGGCTCACGGGTCCAGCCGCTCCACGGCATGTGGGATCTTCCCGGACCGGGGCACGAACCCACGTCCCCTGCATCGCAGGCAGACCCCCAACCACCGCGCCACCAGGGAAGCCCCTGAATTCTGATTTTTAGAAATTGTCCTGAGGGGTTTTTGTTGCTGTTCATGTGACTGTTTGGTGACTTGCCTGGACTTCTTCTGCAGGATACGTCTCACAACAGTATATAGCAGCTAATGAGCCTGCTTAGGTCTTAAGTCTTATTTTTAATTTTTAGCCTGGGGCCATCTAGGGTCAACATAGTCTTGTGGCCAATGATTTTTGCAGAGGCTGTGCTCAAACCCCATGAGCCCAAGATTTGCACCCTCTGCTGATGGATCTGTATGTGGGTTGAGAAGCACATTCAAAGATCAGCCAGTTACTAAGTCAGCCTCAGCCTTTATTTTCCATCAGGGTTTCTTGGGAAGCTTATACAGCCTTCCTGTGGCTCATCTCCCAGTTAAATTTCTGATTGGTCTGCCATTTACCACTCACCTCAACTAGGACTGCAATCTCAGACTATCAAACCTGCAAGTTTTCCGTTTTCTGTCTTTTCAATTGTTTGCTACTTTTACCAGCAGTGCCCCCTGGGCATGGGTTTTCAACTTCTACTCCATATCAGATTAGTCCCCTGTACCAAGCAGTGAAGCTGCTGGTTTTCCTGTCCATGCTGCCCTGATAAAACTACCTTGCTGACCAAGTTAGGGGAAGGGGATGGGAACAGCCCCAGGCAAGATGTCCACAAACTCCCATTGTTCTTACTAAAAACTCTAGCCATTTATCATAAATAAATGCCTCACCTTGTTATTTGTCTTTGGTCCATTTCCAGAGCACTGATACGGTTGTTTTTGACAATTTTATCCAATATAAAACTTGTTTGGGGGTGATTGGATTCACTGACCACTTCTTGCTACCTAGACATAAATCCCACCCTCCAGACTTTCTGAGAAATGCAGAGATGTTGGCTTTGTCTAGGGGGTTGCAGACTTCCTCTTGCCCTCAGAGCAGTTTTTGTCAAGTGGACCCTTCTGTGATCCCAGCTCTTTTAAGTCAGCTCGTCCAAGTTATGCAATGTCCTTGAGGTTGGTGACACAGAAGGAACACAGTAACTGTGAGCAAGGACTGGAGAAAGGGTAGGTCTTTCATTGGGTGAGTGTTTCCAAGAATTGTGAGCTCAGGAACAGATGAGGAGGGGCAAGTAGGAAGACCCTTTGTCTACACTTAACACCTTGTTTTGACACCAGTTTATAACTCTGCATGTGTAGTTTCAGCTTTACCTCAACGAGGGCTGCCAGCACAGCCAAACCATCCGGTGCTTTCTGAGCCTTATCGTAGCTCTTGTATTTAGAATTGTAATGAACGATGTGAATCTGTGGAAGCAAGAAAGTGTAAGTCGAGGGCAGTTCCTGTAAACCTCCAGTGCTTCAGGTTTTCAGGGAAGGAGGAAAATAAAAAAAGATGCTCCATCCCACACCTCAGCTGACCCACATAAACACCTCTGACCACCATGTCCCTCCCTCTGGGCTACAAGATCTATCAAGACCAGAAAGTTCTCCAAGAATGCGAAGAGTATGAGTGGTATTCTGGAGAGATGGCAATTCACCTTCCCCCAGGCAGACAAGCTGGCAGAGTCCAAGGGATCATATGAGGCCACTGGGTTCTCCTGAGGTCTCCCTAGAGTAGGCATGTGCCCCCTTACCCCAGGAGGCCACTGTAAACCTGTGGTCATCCTAAGCAAGAGGGGGAACCGGCAAATCTACCACATAGAAATCCAGTTGAAACTAAAGAGGGCTTGCCCCACTCTGTGGGCTGTAAACTCCTGCGTTGGGGTGACTTCTGTGAGGTCAGGGACCCTGCCCGAACCCCCAGCACATAGCAGTGATCAGTGAATTGTTGTAAATGAATGAAAAATAAACTCAACCTCAGGGTGACTTGACTCAGCAAAGCCTTTTTGGCTGTTTTAATAAGAAAAGTGACTGTGGGGTTTGAAAGAAAGAGGATCCTCAGGGTACCTCGATCACATATCTGATCCCATCAATGGTGTGCTCGGAACCGCTGATCTCCAAGGAGGCGCCACCCCAGTGGAAGTGCATCTGCTGGGCTATGTACTGGGTGCCATCGGCAGCCGTCATGCACATTGTGGGGGGCAGGCTGATCTGTACTGGAAGAGAAGACGAGGGGCAGGGAGTGTGCAGATGGGCGTGGATGGGTCAGGCCTACAGGTGAGGCAGCTTCCCTGGTCACCTGCCCACTCCTGGGGCAAGCTGGTGCTATAGACAGGCCTAGACTGCCATGAGCAGGGTGACCAACAGAGAGGGGGCACCTGGCACATGGGGAAGGATGGTGACCAGGCACTGAGTAAGCTGGGCTGGACAGGCACCCGTCCCAGGGCACGCACCTTCCCACCCAGGACCAGAAGGTCAGGGGCAGGACCTCCAAGTGGCAGGTCCAGCTTGTTAGCCCTAACGAAGGGGGGAGCCCTGAAAAAACAGGGCTAATGAGTGTGGAAATCAGAATTCCGCTCTCCACCTCTGGCCAATTTTGGAATTTGCCCACAGGGTAGGGATAGGAAGTGGGGCCTCTTGGGACTATTTTGATTACTTTACTACCCAGTGTGAGTACTCTGTAAGGTCAAGTTGAGGTCATTTTCTTCTCTATGATGTGGTTAAAATCTTCATCCCATATCGACTTCTAGAACTAGACCAACTACCAACCCATCCCACTTCGTAGAAAGTAGCATCCCTGCAGGGCTTCAGTACTTTTATTTTATGGACAAGGAAGCCAACCTTGGTAGAAAGATTTGCAGAGTCACTCAGTTCATTGGTCAGGGCAGAGCTGGGCCAGAACTGGGCCTGGAAGGGACATCACCATTATAGGCTTCAACTTGTCTTCAGAAGACAAAAGACCACATTCTGCGGCAAGTCAGGGGACACACAGACTCTTGGCTTGGGATTGAATTTGATGTGATCAACAGATGCTTTCAAACGTTAGGTTCTTGCCGATGGGAAAATGGATCCCTCTTCCAGCTTCCTTTTGCCTTGTGCCCCACAGACTTTCCACAGGGAGGTTACTTTGGTGAGACAGCTGCCTTGTTCATTCCACTGGCTTAGGTCTTAGAGAAATCTCTATATTTTGGAATGACCCAGGCAAAAGGGAGACATGGAGAGTGACCCCAGAAAATGACCAAGAAAAATATCTATGAGGGTATAATTTAGGGCTTGAAAAGGGACAGTCAGCCTCTCTCCTGATAACGAGGTTTTTCTATTTAAAGTCTTCGAAGATGGTTATAAACAAGTAAACTTTCTTAAAGAGCAGGTAGTAGGTATTTGATATCTGTCAAATGACCCCTTCTTCCCTTCCAAGTTGTCTAAAGCAGCAGGAAGCTGTGATGAAATTCATAACATAATATGACAGAAGGCAGAAGTCCAGCCTCAAAGATTTTTACACGCCCTTTGGCAGAACAGGTGCTTTGTATTTAGTGCTTAAACTGTAGCCGGCCTCAAAAATCACTGCTCACATGAGAAAAATGGAAGAGGTTTTCAGAGGAGATATGCAGTCATCTGTTCCCAGAGATTGGAGAGCTGAGGAGAGTTACTACCACAGGAGCAATAACAGAGATCCAGACAAGCATGTTTCCCTTGAAACACAATTCCCTGCAGACAGAATGTCTCAATTCTCAAGCTGTATCAATAGAATCGCACAGGCCAGATTGAAAACTGGCGGCAATTCTGGGCTTATCACTGTGCTTTTGCAAAGGTGAGGCCAAATATCTGTCTTCCCACAAATCAATTTGCTGAACCTTCCAGATTCTGAAAAAAAATTGATTTAACTTGCAGAACTTATTCCCCTTTGTTTGAAACTAATTTAACCAAGTTCTTATCAGACCAGAGAAAAAACACACGATCTGAGCATTTACTGTGCTCAAGAAACAACTGCAAAGCGTCAAGGTTACAAAAGACTGAGGAGCTGACCATGATTGTAGAAGACTAAGGAGATATGATGACAAAATGCAACGTGTGGTCCTGGATTAGATGCTGGACCAGGATAAGGACATTCTGGGCAAGTGATGAGATTCAAATGAGGTCTAGAATGTAGTTCATCATGTGGTATCAACACAGTCCAGCTATAAGATATTAAAATTAGGGGAAGTGGGAGAAGGGTATTTGGGAACTCTGTACTATTTCTGCAATTTTTCTAGCCTAAAACTATTTCAAAATAAAAGTTAAAAAAAACAAAGACAGAACCAGTCTTGCTCCTGCAGCTTTCAAAGATCAAAACCTGCTCAGGGGACTTCCCTGGTGGTCCAGTGATTAAGACTTCACGCTTCCACTGCAGGGGGCACGGGTTCCGTAGGGAACTAAGATCCCGCAAGCCACATGGTGTGACCAAACAAAAAAAAGCTACAGTAATCAAGGCAGTGTGGTCTTGGTGGGAGAGTACACAAATACTCAGTGGAACAGAATAGAAAGCCCAGAAAGAGACCCCCATAAATATATTCAACTGATCTTTGACAAAAGAGCAAAGATTATCAATGGAGCAAAGAGAGTCTCTTCAACAAATGGTGCTGGAACAACTGGACATCCACGTGCAAAAAAATGAACCTAGACACAAACCCGACACCCTTCACCAAAATTAACTCAAAGTGGATCACAGACCTAAATGTAAAGTGCAAAAGTATAAAATTCCTCGAAGATAACATAGGAGAAAACCTAGATGACTTTGGGTACAGTGATGCCTTTTTAGATACAGCACCAAAGACACAATCCATGAAAGAAAGAATTGATAAGCTGGACTTAATTAAAATTTAAAACTTCTGCAGAAAAGAATATCAAAAGAATTAGAAAACAAGCCACAGACTGGGAGAAAATATTTGTAGAAGACACATCTGATAAAGAACTGCTATCCAAAATATACAATGAATCCTTAAAATTCAACAATAAGAAAACAAATAACCCAGAGACCATAACAGACACCTCTCCAAAGAAGACATACAGATGGCAAATACGAAAAGATGCTCCACAGCATAGGTCATCAGGGAAATACAAATTAAACCAACAATGAGGTGCTCCCACACACCTAATAGAATGGCCAAGGTCCGGAACACTGACAGCAGCAAATGCTGGCGAGGTTGTGGAGGAACAGGAACTCTCACTCATTGCTGGTGGGAACGCAAAATGGTGCAGCCACTTTGGAAGAGAGTTGCTCAGTTTCTTGCAAAACTAAACATACTCTTACCATATGATCCAGCAATCACACCCCTTGGTATTTACCCAAATGAGCAAAAAAAACTTATGTCCACACCAAAATCTACACACTGGCGTTCATTGATGTTTATAGCAGCTTTATTCATAATTGCTGAACCTTGGAAGCAGCCACAATGTCCTTCAGTAAGTGAATGAGTAAATGAACTGTGGTGCACCCAGACAGTGGAATATTATCCAATGCTAAAAAGAAATGAGCTATCCAGTCATGAAAAGACACGGAGGAAGCATAAATGCATGTTACTGAGTGAAAGAAGCCAATCTGAAAAGGCCGTACACTTCTGCCAACCTGCTGGTAGCTTCAGAGAGTAACTTTGGAAACAGGAACGTGATATGGGTGATAAAATGAGGCTTTCACGAACTACGTGTGGAGTTCAGTAATCCAAATCACAGCTGACCTGAGGGCTACTACCTTCACCAGCCCCATCGAGGGCAATTGGTTTTATTTTCTTAATAGTGCAAAAAGGAAATCTGAGTCCTATGACCGCCCCCCCATACACCTGTGCGAATGGACAGTAAACTGTCCCAACCCAGGTGGGAGTGGAGAGGGAAGTTTCCAAGGAGGACATGACCAAGGAATCAGACATCCGGGGCCTGGATCCAGCTCGGCCACTAGAGACTGTGTGACCATAAGTCCCTTGGCCTCCCAAAGCCTCTGGTTTCAGCTTAAAAAAATGCCCCCCTCTGGGCTTGTCATAAGGCTCAGAGGAGACGAGCCCACTTGAAAAACATCAGAAGGATGTCTGCAAGCGTTAAGCAGGATTTGATGGTTGTCCAGTCTAGGCTTCTGGAATGGAGGCCCCCAAAACCAGCTTTTCCTCTCTGACCTTCCCACATAGAAAATATGGCAGATCAGACCTGGGCACAGATCAACAGAACAGACAGTGGGTCATGTGGCTTCTCGGTGTTGCCTCTCTGTCCACTGAATTTCCTGCTGGTTGGGTCAGAGTGATCTCAGAGAGAGGCCAACGCAGGATGAAGGGGCCAGTGGGGAACCGAGTCTACAGACGGATGCTGCCCAACCAGGGACGAAGTGCCAGGGCTCGACACCGGTCTACCCCGAGTCTGAGGCCTGCAGCCCCCAGGCCACACTCTGGATCTCTGAGCATACAGCTCCTGGCAGCCTTGCCTGCCTGCCTCCCCCCGATGCCCGCGCGGGGACGGGAGCCTGTTGCCCACCCTTACCTGTGTGGCCATTGTTGATCATAAGGAACACCCCGTGCTGGACCTCGTAGCCTGACAGGTTCAGAGCCCTCAGGGAAGGGTTGTACCACACTTTCTTCCTCTGCAGGTCGATGGGAGACTGTCTCTTCCCCCCACAGTCGGGGTACTCCCTCGGCCAGTGTGCTTCATCCAGCACCCCATCTGACACAGGAGAGAGTCCAAGGGGTCACAGTGCAAGGGGCTCCCTGTGGGCACTCACAGCTGGGCCTGCTCAACAGGAGGCCTGCAGAGGCCACAGTCAAGACCAGAGGCCTGTCTTCTAGAAAGCAGGGCCAGGCCTCCAGAAGGAGGTGGGAGGGGCATCTAAATCAGCTCCACGGACCCTGGTGCCTGGGGGGCTTTGGGGCTGGTTCGTAACTTTCCTGTTGCACCCACTGGCCCTGAGAACATGCCTTCGTGTTTTGAAAGCAATGGATGTCTTTAATACATAGCTTTGGTTTTTCGTTTACATGACTGTCGGCTGATAAATGTACTCAAGGGCTACTTGGGCTTGGCATCCCTGTGTTACTTTCAGGGCCTTTTCCTCACTTCTCCTGAATGGCAGTTTCTCTTTCCCAGCCCCCAACAATACCACGGCCCACTCCACGCCCTACGCCCTATGGCAGGACCTCCCCACCTCCTTGCTTGACCCCTCCCCTTTAACTGGTTCCCAATAGGGTAAAGACCACCTGGGTGCCTACACTTATGGATTCAGGACAAGAAAGGAAGCATCGGGTTCAAGGATGACCTAGAATGATTAGTTGAAAAAAATATCAAGGTGAGGAAATTTACCTTTTTTAAGGTAGTTACTAATGACAGAAGAGAGGAGAGAGGGTGATAAAAGCAAGTCATTATAATGGGTGACTCGGCCTCCAAACAACTGTGGGTCCTGGTCTCATCCATTCGCAATAGGGAATCCAGCTCTCTTTCCCCCTTAGGGGACAGCGTCACCCATAGCTTGTTTTGAGGAAGATGTTTGTACTTAGGCCTCTCACGGCTTCTCGGTTCAATAAAAAGGCAATTCTTTTTTTCTCTGTTCCTCTCTTCACTGTTTAATAATACAAACCAATCTGTAGACAATTCTTTCCTAGGGGCAGGTGCCAGGAGCAACGCCAGGCGTCTTGGACACAGCCCCTTCATGGATGAAAAGGGTTTTAACAGCATTGGTGTTTCTCAAGTATCCCCATAGCAGCTGCTGTCCAGTTCTCCTGGGCCCCGGCTCAGAGGCTGTGTTGAGCTGGGGAGGACAGACGCCACTGTCGGAATCCTCTCTCTTCCTTACCCTCGAACCACACCCAGTACCGATGGACCTGACCGAGCAGAAGCCTCGTGGCACTGGGCCGGGTAGGGGAATCCTCTGGTCCAGACAGAGCAGTTGGTCAGAGTCAGCTATCCCACCCTCTGAAGCTGGACTTCCTGAGCCTTGCCACAATGCTCCTAACTCTGCTGCCCTTGACTTAGAGGACACACATCCACCCTGGGAGGACGCTTCACCCTGTATCTGCGGCCAGGGCAGACTGTGCAGAGAGCAGGCTCAAAACTCTGCTTGCTCCTGGCTCCTGCATCAGCCAGCGGCCACGAGCATCCTCTCCGGCCCCATGCCTCCATCCAGGACAGAAAAGAGGGGGACCAGGTAGGCGCTCTCTCCCCTGCCACACAGAAGGGGTGTTTAGTGTCTGAACCCCACTGTCTTCCTCTCTTTGGTCCACACGTGGGCCGGGACCTGTGCTAAATGCCAGGGTTTTCCACTTCATGTCCTATAAGTGGGGTTCTGGATGTGAGATTGGGGTCTCAGCAGGGCCACGGCGACCAAGAGAGGCCAGCCTGGAGGCCGTGCGATGGTCACTGGGTTCTCGGCACGTCGAGATGCTCTGGATAAACCGTGTATCATGAAATTTCCTGGAAGAAAGCTCTGGCAAACCCCACACACCCTCGGTGGGGCTGCAGGGAGCCCCCTGCAACTGCTTTAGTTTCTGTCTACACAGACCAAGAAAGCAAATGGCTTTGCCCTCGTAAGCACTAAGTGGGCTCTCAAGCCAGCTTCCGGGGCAGCAGAGCAGAAACCCTGCGGGTGGCTCAGGGATCCGGGAATGGGGAGAGTTCTGCCCTCCGCTCCTTAGCCGAGGTCTAAGTTCAGTATGCTCTTGCCCCAGCCCGAGACCTTGAGACCCCAGCAAGCACCGTATGCAATCATCAGGCATGGTCGCCCCGAAAGGCCAGCCTTTGTCCTCAAGAAGTGGGTGCCGCCTTCCTTGATGTGATGGCAGAAAGGGGGCGTGCAGCCCTTGGGGTGGGCCTTACCTGAGTAGGTCCACTCGGCCCCGTGCTGGGCCTGGGGTCCCAGCAGGAGCAGGGACAGCAGGGTGACCAGAGCCGTCATGACGCTGTGGGTCTGGAATCAGGGCCGATTCTGGGGAAGCTCTTCTTTTAAAAGTTCAGAAACTGTAAATAACAATTTACCGAGTGTGGTCAGCTGATCCACACTTGCTGCGCCCACTGAGAAACAGCACAGCCTTCTCACTGGCTTCGCTCAGCCAGGTGGTGTGCACCTGTCTCAACAGCTCTGGCGTCAGCCGTGATGTGTCCACTTACCCAAGGGTTTGGTTGTTCACTGTCTGATTTATGAAAACTCACTCACAGGGTCCCACAGGGCAGCCTTTGTGGACGAGCGACTACAGGCCAGGGAATGGCCCAAGGAGAGAGAAGCAGGATGGAGAGGCTTTCCCAGAACAATGGCATTTCCTGTGCCCTTGCTCCTGGCAAGGGGGGCCCAGGGAGCTGGTGAGGGGCATCATGGGTGCCTGGAAATGCCAGTCGGATGCCGAGGGGTATTTCCTGCCTGTCTCAGCAATCGACACCTGCCACTCATGCAGACTCAGGGCTGCCCCCAGCCAGGCGGTGAGAGGGATGGCCTGGGTCCCACGTATTGGGCATAAAGTGGAGAATCCAACTGGCAGCAGTCCCGTTCTCATCCTAATTCCTAAATCACTGGCGGACCCCCAGCCCCAGCTCACGAGTCACATCCCAACACGTGTCCTGGGCTGTCCGAGCTGCTCTAGGCGTCCGAGTCTCTCCGTGGGATGGATTTGTTCTGACAGCCGCAGTGCGCTTGGTCACACCCAAACCCACCCAGCACGTCGGATCAGTGGATTGCCTAATCCTCCTTCGTTCACTTAGGTAAACAGTCCTTGAAATTAGCTGAGGGAGGAACTTTTGAGTTTATACCTGCTGACAGGCCAGCTCTTCCCATGCCCTTCAGAGAGGGCACAGGTGAAGGGCAGCAGCGTTCCTGGCCAGAAACAAAGGACCATCTTGTTCTGCAGAACAGAGCTAACGCCCTCTGCAGCCTCTTTTATCTCATGGCCCACTTTTTGCTGGAGTCTGAGGGATGATGGAATGGCAATACGGTATGAATTAATGAATGAATGGCATGACAATAGCATGAATTAACCATGGTAAAGAGCAAGGATTCTGCAGCCAGACCCACAGGGTTCAGATCCCTGCTCTGCCACTTACTAGCTGTGTGACCTTGGGCAAGTTACTCAACTGCTCTGTGCCTCCGTTTCCCCAGCTTAATAGGATTTAATGATAGTACCTCCTCCTGAGGATTCAATAACAAATCTGGTTTAGCACCTGGTGTGTATCATTTCCTTTCTCATTTTACGGAAACCCACTCTCCAGTCTTTGCTAAGAAAGTCAGATCCCTGCCCGCTGGGCCCCGGTCTGGCTTAAAGGGCCACCTTGTGAGACGCCAGCTCTGCTGAGGACAGCAAGATGGGCATCAACCTTTAGGACCTTTTAGATGCACCAGGGAGCCCCGACATCCTGCTCAGAAAACAGAAACTGAGACATCTGAATTTTTTTCTTGAGAATGACACAAAGAATTAGGGAACTGCAGAGGGAACCAGAAGGATCACGATGTGGGGAAGCCAGGGAGGCTTGCTGGGGTGAGAAGGAACTCTGAGTAAGCCCGAGCCATGAGGCAGGGGAACCTGCAGAGAGAGGGAGGCAAGAAGGGGCCGTGGGGAGTGAGAGGAGACGGGGAACAGATGCTCGGAGAAAGGAGGGCTCCTGGACCCACACAGCCACTTCCAATGGTTCCTGGGCTCTCACGGGAAGTGCAGTCCTGAGGTCAATGCTTTGGGATGCCCAGGAGAACCCTGGTGCTTTTATTGCCCCACAGAATCCTCACAGTGAGTGCATCTGGAATTTTAGCAGCCCTCACATGGAGCCCTGCTGCAACACATGCCTCCACCAGGCCTGCAGTTTTGCCCTGGTTTCTCCGTATCTTTGGCTCAGGAAGAGCCAGGGCTGGCTGGTAATCTATGCAGCTAATGCTGAGAATAAGTGGTTAGAGTGATTAAGTTAATAAAGCAATCAGACTAGTCAAGACCCATCTGCTAACAAGGCACGTTGCTAGAGAGGGGTGGGAGTCCCCTCCCTCTCCTAGGTAGCATACTCCAGGGATCTCATCCACACCGAATCAGACACTTTTGTTTTTGTTTTTGTTTTGCGGTACGCGGGCCTCTCACTCTTGTGGCCTCTCCCGTTGCGGAGCACAGGCTCCGGACCGCAGGCTCAGCGGCCATGGCTCACGGGCCCAGCTGCTCCGCGGCATGTGGGATCCTCCCAGACCGGGGCACGAACCCACGTCCCCTGCATCGGCAGGCGGACTCTCAACCACTGCGCCACCAGGGGAGCCCAAATCAGACACTTTTGTTGCCTACTTTCTAACTCACTGTGTTCTTCAACCCTAAAATTTTCCATTAACTTTGAACATGAGTTTCCGACTCGCAATTTGCAAAGCACATAGTTTGCTTGGATTCTGTTTCTCTTGTGCCACATTCCACCCTGAACTTGCTTGTTCTGTCTACATCCAATCACATCTCCAGCTCATCAAGGATGTATCTTATGCTCAACTCTTGTTTTTCTGGAGCCTATGATTTGAGTAGCTGTCTGAGACGAGTTGACAAGTATGCCATTTTTAATCACAACGCAATGTCAGAAATGAGGAAGATTTGTTCTTCCTTGGTGCCACCACAGCTCTGTGATGGAGGCCCGCTGAGGCCAAGAAAAAGGGAGGGCAGCGAGGTGTGGTCAGCCCAGGTAAGCAGGGAAGTACTATCAGCCCACATAAACAGGGAAGTACCATAAGCCCAGGGGAGCATGGTGGCACCGTCAGCCCAGGTGAGCCAATGCTCAGGTTTACACAGGACTGGCACGGAAAATGATTCTGGGGGACTTCCCTCGTGGCACAGTGGTTAACAATCCACCTGCCAGTGCAGGGGACATGGTTCTATCCCTGGTCCGGGAAGCAACTAAACCTGTGCGCCACAACTACTGAGCCTGTGCTCTAGAGCCCGCGAGACACAACTACTGAAGCCCACGCACCTCGAGCCCGTGCTCCGCAACAAGAGAAGCCACTGCAATGAGAAGCCTACGCACCGCAACGAAGAGTAGCCCCCGCTCACCTCGACTAGAGAAAGCGCACGAACAGCAACGAAGACCCAATGCAGCCAAACAATAAATAAATAATTTTTTTTAAAAATCTGGCTACGTGAGAATATGCACATTTTGACTCTAAGTAATGCAGACAGGCCATTGTTCTGTTTCATTCAGGAGTTCCAGCTCTGGCGTCCTTAAGAATGAGTCATTCTGGACAAGTTAGTTGTCTAGATGAGTAAAGGCTCAATTCTATCTAAGCACCAAGACGTTTAGTCCACTTTGGATTAAAACTTCTAAAGCGGACCCAGGGAACTCTGCTCAATATTCTGTAATAACCTAAATGGGAAAAGAATTTGAAAAAGAATAGATATATGTATATGTATAAACTGAATCACTTTGCTGTACACCTGAAACTAACACATTATTAATCAACTATACTCCAATATAAAACTTAAAATTGTTTTAATATTTAAAAAATAAAGTATACTGTGCTCTTGCCTGCTTTCTTAAATAGATGAAGCTGAATGCAATTAAACTTTCTTTTTAAAATATGTATCTATTTTTTTAGCTGCACCGCGAAGCACGCGGGATCTTAGTTCCCCGAGCAGGTTTGAACCTGCGCCCCCTGCAGTGGAAGCGTGGATTCTTAACCACTGGACCACCAGGGAAGTCCCAGTTAAACTTTTCTTAATGACTAAGACCCACTAATATACATATCAATTGTTATCTTGCATTGTAATATATTGACGCCCGCTGGGCCTATAATTATAGATTCTTCTCCCTATGTGAAACAACCCTAACTGTTATACTTTTGGATTTCTTATTTTATATTGAGGGGGGGGATTCAATTGCTCAAATATTAAAGCAATGTACACCTACGTTCACGGGTGAGAGCCAATTATTAACATGCATAAGGCCAGGGCAGGACCAATCAGAACAGAAATGAGACTTCGTGCTAAGGCAGGGTCCGGAAGCCCCTGCTCTGCCAGGAGTTAACCCTTTAGTTGATGGATTATAAAGAGATTGGGAGATCCTGGGGAAAGGCTGGGCAGCTGGGGCCCTGGAGGTACCAGGGTGTGCATGTTCACTTTTTAATAGTTACTATTGCAACATAGGCTGCCAGCTGTTTCCTCTTAGTTGTCCGTTTGCCTCCCCTCCTCTCCTGACTTACTTGCTGTTTTTGACCTACTTGGCCAGCGATCAGATGACTGCACTTCTCAGAATTATAGGCACAGGAAGAAGAGAGAGAGCTGAACTGAGAGTCCAGAGGCTGTTCTAAAACCAAAGAACGCAAACACTGAAATATTCGTTTTGACTACTCACGAAATTTTTATTTCCTTTCTGACTTTTGGTTATACCCATATAAGTGAAGCATTACTGAATTGTCAAGTTAAATAACCTACTTGCAGAATATTCAAACGTATCCAGCCCCAATTCAGTGGGGCCCATGTTTTCTCTCACCAGCCTCTTAGTGGATGAATTCCCCAGTCTTATAGGGTATTTCCAGTCTCGTCTGTCCTCCTAGAACTCGGCACCTATCGTTTAATCTACCAGCAGGCATTTTGCTCCGTTATATCTATTCTTCTTCCTTACTGGGCACCAGTAACCCACATCAGAAAACATCCAGACCAAAGCCCTGGTGGCGATTCTCCATTATTAATATAGGGATAAGCAACATAGTATCCAAATACCTAAAAATATTCACAGCTCAGCCTGCCATCCACATTCTGCGCCCCTTGTCTGTGCAAACTCACCGTAGGACCTGCTGTTGGAGTTGGAAGTTCCGTTCGCCTCTCCTGCTGGGCTGTCCCTTTGGCTTCTTGGAAGACTCTTGGGCCAGGTCTTGCTTCAGTCCCTTTTATGTACTCCTCCCCTAGTTGATTTCTGTAGGACAGGTTTGTGTGTCTTCACCTCCACCCTTAACTGTTCAATATGCGATTCCCAATCTATACTGAGTCCTAATTCTCCCCTTACCCCCAAGGGACTGGTTACACAAGTAGAAGACTGTGACAAATTGCCACAAAGTCAGTGCTTAAGACAAGACAATGTTATTGTCTTAGAGGTTCAGAGGTCAGAAATCCAAGATCAGTTTCACTGGGCTGAAGTCCAGCATCCACAGGGCTGGTTCCCTTCTGGAGGCCCCGAGGGAGAATCCATCCCTCGTTCTTTTCAGTTTTTCAGCTCCTGAGGCCACCTGCACTCCCTGGCTCACGACCCCTTCCTTGCATCACACCGATGGCTTGCTTCATTCATCACATCTCCTACTTCCTCCTTTGATCTTCTTGCCTCCCTCTTATAAGGATCCTTGTGATCACATCTAGGGTTCACCCAGGTAATCCAGGATCATCTCCCCCATCTCAGGATCCTTAACTTAATCACCCCTGCAAGTCTCTTTTGTAACATTCACATGTTCTGGGAATTAGGATGTGGACATCTTTGCAGGGCCGTTATTCAGCCTACCACAAGGGTTCAGGAGACTACCAAGCTAAATTAAACCACGAATAGCTGAAAATGGGATTTAGACTTTAAAGAACAGAGGAACAAATCCACAATGTCATGAAATACACCAGGAAAGGAGGGGCTGTGGGAGAACAAGATGGACAACAGCTGATCTGTTGGGAGAACACACAATTGCCAGGCACTTCGCTGAGCTCTCAATGGTCATAATGGTATGACCAGAGTCAGCTGGTTGGACTGGAACAGCAACCCAGCAGCCTGAAAAACTCTCAATAGCACAGAGGAGAACGGGTATAGCCAATCTGACAGGTGTGGGTGGGACCAACACCCTTTGAATGTGTCATGGGAGACGGAACGGTCAGCCTTTGGCTTGAGTCATGCATGGGGTGCCTCTGCATCAGATACAGAATCCTTTGCTCTGTGCCCACACAACCCTCTAGAGGACAGAACAGTAAAATGAAATTTAAAATCTTCAGCAAAGGTTATCCCAATACTTCAAATGTGGGACAAATTACTTTTTTTAAAAAAATCTCTCTAATAGCATCAGAGATCATCAAGGCAGAGTTATATAAATAGGATAATATATCACCAGAGGTTGGGTTTGTCCCAGGAATGCAAGGTTGGTTTAACATTTGAAAATTAACGTAACAAAAATAGGAGAAAAAGATACCAAAAGCATTTCAACATATGGAGAAAAATGAATTGATAAAATTCATCATCCAGAAGAGAAAATCAAAATCCACTTATAATATTCTTAAAAAACTAAGGAAAGGGCTTCCCTGGTGGCACAATGGTTGAGAGTCCGCCTACTGATGCAGGGGACACGGGTTCGCGCCCCGATCCGGGAGGATCCCACGTGCCACGGAGCGGCTGGGCCCGTGAGCCATAGCCGCTGAGCCTGCGCGTCCGGAGCCTGTGCTCCGCAATGGGAGAGGCCACGGCAGTGAGAGGCCCATGTACCGCAAAAAAAAAAAAAAAAAAAAAACTAAGGAAAAAGGGTGGATTTCCTCAATCTAAACTGTAGATAAAGAATATCCACAAAAAAAAATTCTACAGCAAACATCACACTCAGTGGAGAAATAGTGGATTTTTCCCATGAGTTTGGGAAAAAGAACTAGGATGCTGCCACAACTTATATCAAATTTTTCCTGAATGTCCAGGCAAATACAATAAAGGGGAAAAGCTTTAGGTATTAGAAAGGAAGAAATAAAACAGTCTTATTTAGATGACATAATTGGGTAGGTGGAAAATCCAAAAAGATCAACAGGTAAATTATTACAATTAATGAGCAAGTATATAAAGCTAATATACACAAAATCAATATACTAAATGCAATTGTATTTCTATATAACAGCAACAGAAAATTAGGAAATAAAACTTAATTTTTTTTTAATTTAAAAACTGATTCCACTACAGGAACCGTCTGAATCATGTTTGTAAATTTTTTGTAAAACTAAAACTATTCTAAAATATGAAGTCTATTTTTTTAAGTATATCATTTACAATGGCATCAGACAATATCAAATGCCCTTGGATAATTCTGATAAAAGATTATTGAGGGAAATTAAAAACGTTAATAACTAAAAGAATAGGCAAGAATTTCTTAAACAAGATATAAAGAAAAAGATTGTTTGAACGACATTAATATTAGAAACTTTAGTTCATCAAAACACCATACCCAGGCTTCCCTGGTGGCACAGTGTTTAAGGATCTTCCTGCCAACTCAGGGGACACGGGTTCAAGCCCTGGTCCAGGAAGATCCCACATGCTGCAGAGCAACTAAGCCCGTGCACCACAACTGCTGAGCCTGTGCTCTACAGCCTGCGAGCCACAACTACTGAAGCCCACGCGTCTAGAGTCCATGCTCCGCAACAAGAGAAGCCCACGCACCACAACGAAGAGTAGCCCCTACTCGTGGCAACTAGAGAAAGCCCACATGCAGCAACGAAGACCCAACTCAGCCAAAAATAAATAAATAAAATAAAAATTTAAAAAAACAAACCACCATACCCAGTGAAAAATTAAGCCCTATAGTGGGAGAAGATATTTTCAATACATGTAACCAACATTCATGTCCAGATTGTATAAAGAGCTCTTACAAATCAGTAAGAAAAAACATGCAACAGCTCATAGACAAATAGGCCAAGACTTGAGTCACTTTAAAAGAGGGACTTTCAAATGGAAATAAAAACAAAAATAAACAAATGGGACCTAATGAAGCTTAAAAGCTTTTGCACAGCAAAAAGGAAACCATAAACAAGACGAAAAGACAACCCTCAGAATGGGAGAAAATATTTGTAAATGAAGCAACTGACAAAGGATTAATCTCCAAAATTTACAGGCAGGTCATGCAACTCAATATCAAAAAAACAAACAACCCAATCCAAAAATGGGCAGAAGACCTAAACAGCCATTTCTCCGAAGAAGATATACAGATTGCCAACAAACCCATGAAAGGATGCTCAACATCACTAATCATTAGAGAAATGCAAATCAAAACTATGCAAATGAGGTATCACCTCACACCGGTCAGAATGGCCATCATCAAAAAATCTACAAACAATGAATGCTGGAGAGGGTGTGGAGAAAAGGGAACCCTCTTACACTGTTGGTGGGAATGTAAATTGATACAGCCACTATGGAGAACAGTAAGGAGGTTCCTTAAAAAACTGAAAATAGAACTACCATATGACCCAGCAATCCCACTACTGGGCATATACCCTGAGAAAACCATAATTCAAAAAGAGTCATGTACCACAATGTTCATTGCAGCTCTATTTACAATAGCCAGGACACGGAAGCAACCTAAGTGTCCATCGACAGATGAATGGATAAAGAAGATGTGGCACATATATACAATGGAATATTACTCGGCCATAAAAAGAAAGGAAATTGAGTTATTTGTAGTGAGGGGGATGGACCTAGAGACTGTCAGACAGAGTGAAGTAAGTCAGAAAGGGAAAAATAAATACCATATGCTAACACATATATATGGAATCTTAAAAAAAAGATTCTGAAGAACCTTGGGGCAGGACAGGAATAAAGACGCAGACATAGAGAATGGACTTGAGGACATGGGGGATGGGGAAGGGTAAGCTGGGACTAAGTGAGAGAGTGGCATGGACATGTATACACTACCAAGTGTAAAATAGATAGCTAGTGGGAAGAAGCCGCATAGCACAGGGAGATCAGCTCGGTGCTTTATGACCACCTAGAGGGGAGAGCTAGGGAGGATGGGAGGGAGATGCAAGAGGGAGGAGATATGGGGATATATGTATATGTATAACTGATTCACTTTGTTATACAACAGAAACTAATACACCATTGTAAAGCAATTATACTCCAATAAAGATGTTAAAAAAAAAAGAGAGACTTTCCAGATAGACAATTAACATCAGAAAAAGTTAAAATTCTTTAGTGACAAAAGAAATAAAAATTAAAACCACAGTGAGGTAGCACTACACAGTCATCCTTACCCTGATGGCAAACACTTTAAAGCCTGATAATACCAAATGTCATCAAGATTGCAAAACAATCTGAACTCCCGTCCATTTCTAGTGGGAGCGCATGAAATTGATTCAGCCACTTTGGAAAACTGTCAGTATCTACTGAAGTTGAATATAAACAAACTCTATGACCTAACAATTCTTCGCAAAGGTATAGCCCAACAGGAATCCATACATTTGTGTACAGACAGGAACACGAATATTTCTAACAACCGTATTCATTATAGCCCCAAACTGGAAACAACCCAAATGCCCATTAACAGAAGAATGGATAAGTAAATGGTGGTATATTTGTACAACCGAATGAATTAGCTACTGCTCCAGGGAACAACATGGATAAACCTCAAAATATGTTGAATGAAGTCAATCACAAAAGAATAAATAAAATATGATTTTATATTTATGCAGTTCCAAAATGGACAAAACTAATCAATGGTGTTAGAAATGAATGGAAGGGGACATAAGGGGTACTCTGGAGAGCTGGTCATGATTTTGAACTGGTGACAGTTTACACAGGGATGTTGATTTGAGACGATTTAATGAAGTGTACATTTACGATTTGTGCAATTTTCAATATGTAAAACTTCAATCAAAAAGTTCATAATGGGGGGCTTCCCTGGTGGCGCAGTGGTTGAGAGTCCGCCTGCTGATGCAGGGGACACGGGTTCGTGCCCCGGTCCGGGAAGATCCTACATGCTGCGGAGCGGCTGGGCCCGTGAGCCATGGCTGCTGAGCCTGCGCGTCCGGAGCCTGTGCTCCGCAACGGGAGAGGCCACAAGAGTGAGAGGCGCCCCCAACGCCCAAAAAAAAAAAAAAAAAAAAGTTCATAATGAAGGAAAACAGTTTGGTAATTC